GTATGTGTGTGTGTGTGTGTGTGTATGTGTGTGTGTGTGTGTATGTGTGTGTGTGTGTGTGTGTGTATGTATGTATGTATGTATGTATGTATATGTATGCGCGTATGACAATGATGATTAGCATATTATCATATCAAAATTGTCACTGTGAAGTCTACCTTCTTATTTTCTTTAAAAAAAAAAAAAAACGGTGATATTAATTTGAAATAAAAGAGAGAAAAGTTTTCTTGTTCTCTATAAAAAGTAAAATATTAAATAACTCCAAAAAAAAAAACTGCAAGAGTACAATTACAATAATTTTATAATATCACCATATAAATTACCGTAATTTCTCATTATTAAAAAGAAGAATTTTTTCTTTTTTTCTCTACCATTCTTTGTCACATCCATTGTATTTATTATTTGATAATTGAATAAATAAATAAATATTTTTTGCTATCAAAAATTATTCTATCCGACATTTCTTTTTATATTATACTAGAAATGAAGGTATATATAATTGTTCTTTTTATATTCTTGTTTTTAAAATTTAAAAATAAAATAAATTTAAATTATTTATTTAATAATCATTTAATTTAATTGTTATTGCTAGCAGCATTTACTAAATACATGTCAGTTGGCTTCTTCTTTTTTTTTTTACTCATTAACATAACTTTCAATCAAATTTTTTTTCAACATAAATTTCAATTGAATTTATTTAAATTCATGTTTGTATCTGTGTGTATATAATGTATGTGTGTGTATGTGGTGCATGTATCCATGTGTGTGTGGTGCATGTATGCGTGTGTATGTGTGTATGTGATTCTATAAAATCCATCTTAATAAAATTGAAATTATGAGATTTTTTTTTTTATGAACTGAACAATTTTATTGTATTGCATTTAATCCTCAACTACTACTACAATTATATTAAATTTTCAAAAATTTTTCCATTTCTTTTTTTGTAAAAATCATAAATTGAAAATTTAATGACAGACAGACAGACAGGCAGACAGACTGATAACAGACTTCTGTACTTCACCGTTATTATTATTTTTTCTCTTTTAAGCGAATAATATCAAAACGATTGATTTGCACATTTAAATAATATAGGATTGGACTCGTTAAGTTCCAATTTTATGGTCACCCGCTTTTTTTTTTTTTTTTCATTCAATAATGATGAGAATTGTCGCATTGCCATTAATTGTCACAATCACTAAATTCCCATCTGTCTTTTTTTTTTTTTATTTAAAATTAATTATATGGAAAAAACAAATGAATGGATGAATGGTTAACCAAAAAAACAAAATAGATTTTTTTTTTTTGCTAAATCTTCGTAAACGATAGTTTTTTTCCCATTAAAATCCTTATCAAATATAAATGATAGTTATTCATTTAATCATTTATTGTTTGTTTATTCACTCATTTCAAATTTTTCTATAAATCATTGATTTGATAAATTGGTAAGTAAGTTTTGGTCAATTACAGAAAAGTATGACCATTTAAAATTTCAAAATATTAATTAAAACTTATCATAAAGATTGGAATGTATTTTAGTAATTAGACAAATAATTATCTATTTCATCTTGTTATCTTAAAAAAAAAAAAAAGAAAGTACCACGAAATTTTGGAATGTTTGCTTAGTATTGAATGAGAAAATTGTTATCAATTCTAAATTATCCCTTAATGAATGATTTTTCTTTTCTTTTCAATTTCCATAATCGATAATCTTTCCATTAAAATTCACATTAATTAGTTACTGTAACTGATTTATTACATTCCTAACATATTTAACAATTCATTTCATGTTTATCGTTAACTTTAAATTATCACTAATTTGTCATTCTAATTGCTTTGCTTATACATTTTTGGAGGAAGCCAAATTTCAAGTCAAAGATCAGAGATCGATTATTGCACTGTTTCCATAATTTCACAAGAAACAAAAGTTTATGCCCAGTGGAAAGCTACTCAACACACACACACACACACACACACACACACACACATGATGTATTACTTATTAGTAGTTGACAGTTGTGTTGACCTTTGACCCCATATTTATCTGCTACATTCAAGTTTGACAGTCTGTGTTACTATTGCAGTGTTTTATAGTGTTTTATATGTTTTATAGTGCAGTGTTTTATAGTGCAATTTCTCGAAAATATTAAACCTAGAAAACTCTTATTAAGCACACACACTATAATATTAATGATGGAAAATTGCTATGACCTTTTGACCTTATATTGATTAATAGGACTTAGCTTTAACATTCCTCGTTGTTGTATCGTTCCATACAATGAATAGTTTAGTTATCAGAATAGTATAAATTTTTGGGATGTTTTAATCAGTTCAATAGTCGATTCCATTTCTAAATTTTAAATTTTTCCCGTAACAAATTAAAATTA